CGCTTTATCATATCGCGTTTTGTTAGTCATGCTAGGGGGACATAAACATTAGTCAATAACGTGAGATCGTTTTCTAAAACTTGTCAAATACCCTATTGGCTGGGGTGTAAGTAGTAATATTGCGTATTGTATGACGACCTCCTTGGCCGAGTGGTATGTACGCCGAGATTCAAGGTGCCGCCAACTCGAGAGGTCCCGGGTTCCAATCCCGGTGGGGGCAGATGTTTGTGTGATGAACACTAGCATTTGTCAACTCCGGTCATGGATGTTTAATATGTATCTATATATATAAAACTCAAAGGTGACTGACTGACATAGTCATCTTTTAACGCACAGCCCAAACCACTGGACGGATCGGGCTGAAATTCGGGCAGGATTTTGATCAATTCTACCCTCAAGGGGATAAAATAGGGAATGAAAGTTTGTATGAAACTTTGTCAATTTTAAACCGATCGGGCTGAGACTTTGCATGCAGGTATAAGAAGAATCATAGATGAATGTCATTGTGTATAATACAAGCGCACAGTGTTTTATGGAACCAAAAAAATTTACATGTTCAGGTTCTTACATAAATAGATTATTTATACCCTAAAAAATGCTTGAGTTCAATTTACAGAAGTCTAACTCAAATACTTTTTGAGAAAAAAAATCATGAACTTATCGTGACCTTTGACCTATGAAATCTAGAATATTTTTTTATAAAGTGAATATTAACAATATATTTTTTTAATAAATATGTGTCAATCGGGCATAATCAGAGGCGTATAAACGCGTTTCTTTAGCTTAAAAAAATGCATTGGTTTGGGAGCAGCATTTTTTTTTGTATTTCGTATTTATTGTTTTTTCTCCCTTAAAACGAAAAAGTGGAACCTAGAACTTAGATAGAAATAAACCTACGGATGTGGTCTATCATACATAAATAAGCCACGTGTCACTTTTGCGGCGTTTAGAAGATATTAATTTTTAATTTTTTATGCTAGGGTTGACACCGAGTGTTTTATAGAACCAAAAATATTTACACCTTAAGGTTTTTGCATAAATCAATTATTTAAACCCTAATAAAGGCAAGAGTTCAATTCCCAGATCACTATTTTAAGTAAAAAAAAAAAGATATGAAGTAGCAAAGTTTTTGAAATTTGCGCATGAAAAAATTAACAATTTAATTTCCTTAAAAGACGGTTCCATATCTGTCCATGAGATATTTGCCAATTGCTAAGGAATTATCGATGGCATAATTGTGTAATTTTATTTTGTTTATAAGTGTCCTAGTTTCCAAGAAATATAGTTTTTTTTAAATTTCGATTTTTAATTTTTTCTCCAAAAATCGGCAAAAGTGGAACCTGGATTTAGTACAGAAAGGTTCTATAAGCCAAGTTCTATCACCCATAAAAAAATCAAGTTTCACTTTTGCGGTTTTAAGAAGTTATGACAGAATTTAGATAAAGGTCAACTTTCATGATCTAGGGTTGAAAAATATGTCCGTTTTTATAGTTGCCACCCGATGACAGTAACAGTTCATAAAATCCTCATGCACGGTGAAGAAATTATTGCGTCCAGTGCACTGCCCATCGGTATGCTATCTGAACAAGCAGCCGAGTCCCGAAATAAATTCTAGCGTTCAGACAGAGAGCATCATTGCCGAAAAATGAACAGGAGAACCACAATGACGGACCTCTTTCACCGTGCCCTAGAATCATCAGACCCGTTTATTTCTATGGCAAATATCAGCCAACGTCGAAAATATTCTAAGCGATTTCCCTTGCCTTCAGCTGTTTGTGAGCTCTTACAACCAATTGATGCAGATCGATTGCCGTTATTCGAAGCAGAGGAAGATGCTGAAGATGAAGATTTTTCGAACGTCGCAAATGAAAGCAACCTAGAAGTATTAAACAAGGATGATTTATTTGTATAAAAGTTAAAGTAGAGGTGTTGCATAAAGAAGGTGCCGGCAGGTGATGACACTATCCTAGATTGGTTTTAAATGTGAATGAATTTCTAAATCCAAAATTTCATCACAATCGTTAGATCCGTTTCCGAGAAACCAATATATTTATATAGGTACATACAATAATTGCTCGTTTATAGTATAGGATGTGTTTTAAATTTTTTCAAACAACATAGTTTATTTTTTCGTTGCCATTTAGCGTGTAAGGCAAAATTAAAATGTGGTCGTCAAAATTAAAACATAAAGTATTCCTACATTATCACATCTACATTAGGTAGGTAGTATATGTAAGTATATTGTATTCGTCTATAAGTACAACACTTATTCAATTATAATATAATATAACTTATTCAATTGATTGACGGTATTAATAACAAAAAAAATTAACATTTTCACTTAACTCATACTTGACCTTTGTGACAACCCTAGATCATGAAAGTTGACCTTTATCTAAATTCTGTCATAACTTCTTAAAACCGCAAAAGTGAAACTTGATTTTTTTATGGGTGATAGAACTTGGCTTATAGAACCTTTCTGTACTAAATCCAGGTTCCACTTTTGCCGATTTTTGGAGAAAAAAATTAAATCGAAATTAAAAAAAACTATATTTCTTGGAAACTAGGACACTTATAAATAAAATAAAATTACACAATTATGCCATCGATAATTCCTTAGCAATTGGCAAATATCTCATGGACATATATGGAACCGTCTTTTAAGGAAATTAAATTGTTAATTTTATCATGCGCAAATTTCAAAAACTTTGCTACTTCATATCTTTTTTTTTACTTAAAATAGTGATCTGGGAATTGAACTCTTGCCTTTATTAGGGTTTAAATAATTGATTTATGCAAAAAACTTTAGGTGTAAATATTTTTGGTTCTATAAAACACTGTGAAGCGTGAGAACAAAAACTGTAGTCTACACTTCAGCTCTACACCGAAGCTAAGCGAGGGCGGGCCGCTAGTTTCTTTGTAAATATACTGATATATGTATTCTATCCGTTACCCTAGTATCCCATAACACAAGCCTACAGTGCTTACTTTGGGGCTAGGCTAATATAGAGGTGTATTCCTTAATGTACCATTGAGTATACTAACGGACAGTCCTCCATAGCTGCCGAACTATTGCCAGGAAGGCGTATACTTGGTTTGGGCTATGCGGATGGGATGTTAGTGGACTGGATACTTGGATTATGGAGTGACATTATGGACATCTACCTAAAATCTCTCACAACAATTTTAGCCTGGTAGATGGTGACTATAAGGAGGAGCTCGATAGCGCGGGTGGTTAGCTTATTCGGCTGCGATCGATAAAGTTAAGCAACTTTCGCAGTGGTCGGTCATGGGATTGGTGACCAAAGATCTTCTGTCTCGGGTTCCTCCGTGCTTCAGTAGGCACGTTAAGCCGTCGATATCTGTACCCTTAGCACGAACCAATATCGAATTCGAATCGTTTGCGAGTCCAAAATGTCATTGTTAAATGTGTACTGATTTTTAGTTCCCGTTACGTCCAAAGTGGCGCTGCTGTTCAAGTTTCCATACAAAATTTTACATTGTCATTTCGGTTTGCAAACTATTCGAATTCAGTAATGGTTCGTGCTAGCAACCAATCCGCACTGGGTCCGCGTGGTGGGTCATGGCCCAATCTCCCTAATCTATCCATATTGGATTTTGGATTGGAAGGCTTGTGCCCAGCAATGGGGACATTAATAGGCTGAAGATGAGATGGTGACTTTCTAGTCGTTGGCTATTACACCAGTCAACACGATTTTTGAGTCTGAGTTCTTTGTACCAGATTTTGATTTCTTATACCTAATTAATGTAAGAAACGATATTTTTATTTAAAAAAGTTTGCTTTTGTAGCTATCAGAATGAAATTTTAAATTTCATGGAAAATTGCAATCTTTTTTGTTTAAGTTGTATGTAACAAGAAATTTATTTAAAACTCTTTTATTTACTTTAGACAAATAAACCAAGTCTATGAATACAAAAAATATATCGATTTAGTTTTAAAAATTGATATTTTTAGCATATTTTATAATTTTTAGTCTGAAAATTTTCTGAAGTAAACAAAATACCATGGAAATTTAGTATATCCTCATGTGACGCCCATATTTTATCCTGACTTCGAATATAAAGTTAAAATAAGCTTCATATGCTTAATCATGCCTTTTACTACTGGATAAACAACATTTTTTGACCCTAAATTTAATAAAAATCTCCAGAAATAAGTCAAACAGAGTCCGTGTAGTTTTCCCTCATTTTGGAAGGCATTTACCGCTCTAGGCATTTACAATATACGTGGTTTCTCTAAAAGATGTGTACATGCACTGACTGATTGCTCTACTGCTTCCTGTTCCATACCCAATATTCTTCTGCACACCTTTCTTTTGCTTATTAAAAGCGCTAGATCCTCAGCCTTTTACAAAAGTCATACATATTTATTTATCATTATATAAAGTACGAAAGCATACTTTTTAAAATAAATATGAGGTTTCTGGTTATTTTTCTATATAAACAATTAGACAATAGTCATGATTTTATTTATTTTTTAAGCATTTAACTGCTAGATGTTTAAATCTAAAGAAAAGTTTACTAGAAAAAAATCCACGCGGACCAGGCAGTGGACGGGACTCGAACCCGCATCCTTCGCTATCCGGGCGAATGCACTGACCATTATGCTACCACGGCCCTATTAGCCGCGTCGAAATTTTCCTAGCCTTAAGCTGCAAGGCAGCGCCATCTCTTCGCATTGTAGGTAATCCACAATGTCAAATGAATACTTTTTCAAGTATTAAACATTTGAAAGAAGAAATAGCAATTATAGTTATTTCGACAATTCGACGCGGCTAATAGGGCCGTGGTAGCATAATGGTCAGTGCATTCGCCCGGATAGCGAAGGATGCGGGTTCGAGTCCCGTCCACTGCCTGGTCCGCGTGGATTTTTTTTTTCTAGTAAACTTTTCTTTAGATTTAGACAATAGTCATTAAATAACAGACTCAATTATTTTTTCATTTTGTTGACTTGTGTTATTATTGTGTGGTGGCATCAGGTGAAGCGCAAGTTCTCGTCGTTCTTCAAGTCGCTGGTGATCGAGCTGGACAAGGAGCTGTACGGGCCCGACAACCACCTGGTGGAGTGGCACCGCACCCTCACCACGCAGGAGACCGACGGGTTCCAGGTCTCTGCTCGATACTATACTATATCACACTCAATTGATTTCAATTTTATTTCGTTTGTTTCAATTTATTCCATCCAGCGACCAAATGTTATTGTGCCATTATAAACTCAAACTCATTTATTCAGTCTAGGTTGTTACAAGCTCTTGTGAAAGTCAAACGCTACGCCATCGGTTCGTAAATCTACGGCGGGAGACCTTGTACCGAGAAGAATTGGCAAGAAACTCAGCAAGGGCTATTTTTTTCTCCCTGTTTTGTTTCATACGGTGTCGTCAACTGAAAGATGACATCAAAAATTGAAAACATGTGTTGATGTCAACTTCCATCACATTAATATTATTAATTAACAAAAGTTAAGTATAGCTAGGTACTACTTTTAAATTTAGAAGTGGCGATTAAACAATTTTCAACCAAATCAGCAAAGTAAAACGACTTAGTCTGTTATATTAAGCCCAAGGTGGCTTAGATTATATCAGTATATTATAATGGCGCAATTACATTTGGTCGCTGGCTTTATTCGGATGCTCGAAAGTCATTACTTGAATTCGGATAACCGAAGCAATGTTTACACTTGAATTTATTTATTTATTATATGTGTTTCCGAAACACACAGCGTGTATGAATGATAGAATATGTATATAAAGCGACTTACGTGTATGTCTTTACTATAATTATGCCACATAATTATTTCACCCATGAATAAATAAGCTTGCATTTTAGAACAGTTGTAACGCTTGACGTTGTGTGTTTAAATTAAGACCTTATATACTGTGCATTAATGGTGAATTTAACCGTTTAAGTAATGCCTTATATTGTTTTTAGCTACTCTATCATTTCACAGGATTCCGTTTATTATCGCATATCGATTAGAATGTAGCTTATGGTCAGCTCCCCCTGCGATATGATTTATATCGCGTTTTGGTCATGCTCAATTGACAAATTACTGTTGAGTTTGTCAGTGAGACGCGATATAATGTAAATCGTGGTGCTCATCCTACGGGGATAGGTTTCGGCCACAGTTTTGTTCGCTTAAAATGTAGCTTTTGAGCAGGTTTCGGCGCAGGCTTGTTCGCATGTTGAATGTAGACGCAGGGTATATAATGTGGGGGGGGGGGGGGGGGACGGTGTGATGCAGGTGAAGCGGCCGGGCTACAAGAACGTGCGCTGCACGATCCTGCTGCTGCTGGACTACCAGCCCATGCAGTACAAGCTGGACCAGCGGCTGGATGTGTATATAATGTGGGGGGGGGGGGGGGGGCGGTGTGATGCAGGTGAAGCGGCCGGGCTACAAGAACGTGCGCTGCACGATCCTGCTGCTGCTGGACTACCAGCCCATGCAGTACAAGCTGGACCAGCGGCTGGCCAGGCTGCTGGGCGTGCACACGCAGACCCGACCCGTCATCGTCAACGCGCTCTGGCAGTACGTCAAGACGCATAAACTCCAGGTGAGACCCCGCTTATAAACAAACGACTCGTTTATAAAACCGTTGAACAATAATGGACCCGAATGAGATCCCCGAGGCATACCTGAAGATTCTCCTGTTTCCTTCTAAAATTTTTAATGCCAAACTTTGAAGTTTTTGTTAATCGATCACGCACAAGCTACTGAACGGATTTGAATGAAATTTGACGCGATTATAGTTTGATGAGCTACGTTAAGATGTAGGATACTTTTTATCCCGAGGAAGTGTTAGGTTCCTGAGGGAATTTAGAAAAACTTAAGTTCACGCGGGTGAAATCGCGGGCAGCCCCCATACATTTCAAGTTTGCTCACTAGGAAGTTATACGATACTCGATTGTTTCTTAGGTTTTCACGCACCCCGCTCATTAAATAAAACTAGTTTCAACGGTATAGATGCACTGATTTATTTAGAATTTGTACCTATCTTCGTAAATAAATATAAATCAAAGTAAATAAAATCATAATTTAGACAACGGCGACGCATCATGTAAAGGATGCAAAACGTCGGTAAATGAATAAATCGGTTCATCTTTACCGTTGAAAGTAGATTTATGATTGCAATACTCTGTCAAATGCCTTACTGAAACAAAAAACACAAATAACTTTTTCTGAGTCAATTTTCGTTTAGGGCGGAATTTGGCTGGGTGTCCAGGGTTCAGCTATTGCAAACAGCGCTTCCGATGATCGTATAGTATCCACTTTTCATCACAAGTAATGATTCGATTTGAAATCCCTTCATTATTTTGTCGGTTGAGCAAAGTAACACAGCAGTCGACGTGTGTTTGCAAGTTCGATTCACTCAATTCATGAGGTACCCATCGTTCAAGTTTTTTTACTTTCCCGATTTGCTTCAAGTGGATTAATACAGTTTTGTCACTTACCTCGAAGCCTGCAGCTATCTCTGAAGTGCTTTGTGATAGGCCCGCTTCCACAATAGACTTTAATTCTTCATTTTGCACTTTGGTCTCCGGCCGTCCACGGGGTTGGTTCTGAAGGTCGAAATTTCCAGAACGAAAACGTTGGAATCAAAAACGTACCATGCTTTCTTTTGCGACACCAGCGCCGTACACATCATTCATCCTTCGAGCTGTTTCTGCAGCACTGGTGCCTCGGTAGAACGCGTACTCGTAAATATACTGATATTTATTGTTTTCCTTAGTGCGACGTCAAAGAAAAAAATAATGAGGAAAAAATAAATTAATGACTGTTTTCAAAATTCAATTGTACCAGCTAAATAAATTTATAAATTTGAATTTAGAGGAGATATTTCAGATCAAAGTGGTCAGTACGACAAAACGCTAATTTCATATGTTAGGACTTAATATAGGTGTACCCTAAGTACGAGTTCGAGCTCATGAAAACTATCATAGTTTTGCGTAATTGTAAATTATGTTTCTATGTCCATTTTGGTGAAAAAAATTAATCAAGTATACTTAAAATTTAAGAAGATGCAAATCATTTAATGATAGAATTTAAACACTGTTTTGTATTGAAACGAAAACAATGAAATTAGTAGCCTTAGGACGAGGGCGAGCTCACGAAAACTATCATAGTTTTCGTAATCGTAAAACTCGTATATGCATTCTATCCGGTACCCTAGCATCCCATAACGCAAGCCTTACAGTACTTACTTTGAGGCTAGGCTAATTGGTGGGAATATTGGAAATATTATAATTTTTACTATTTTAAAGCATGTAACTGCTTGATGTTCTAAATCTAAAGAAATTATAACTAGAAAAAATTCCACAATGTGAAATGAATACTTTTACAAGTACTAAACATTTGAAAGAAGAAATAGCAATTATAGTTGTGGTTTTCCTATAATGCGAAGAGATGGCGCTGCCTTGCAACTTAAGAATGGCTAGAAGAATTTCAACGCGTTCCGTGAGGGCCGCGGTAGCATAATTGGTCAGTGCGTTCGTCCGGGTTGCGAAGGGTGCGGGTTCGAGTTCCGTCTGCTGCTTGGTCCGCGTGGATTTTTTTCTAATTATACTTTGTTTAGATTGGAAATATTGTTTTATTGGAGTTTACTCCTTAAGAATCTATTTGCATATATAAGGGGTCTGGTATGAGAAAAATGTGAGGAGTGAAATCTATCGATGAATGACCTCGTTACGTTTTAGCAACCGTAGTGCGACACCGTAGCACAGTATCGTAGCGTACCTTTATTGCCTAAACGACAAAGAAACCGCGTCGGTGTACCACCGCGCAATTCGTTGAACACAAAACCATCGAGCTTTAGAAGTAAACGTGGATGTGGCATTTACAGTATCAATCTTTTTTAAGTTAAATAAACTCTTTTTGCGTCCGGTTAAACTATCGAATTCAAGGAGTAAACTCCAGTCGTGCGTCGGAGCTGACTCACACATTTTTTACAAGCTTTTATTTAACTCGCTATGTATGTTTGTTACGGTCAAATCTTACAACTCAATTTTAAAGCACTCGCTCTCAACCGATTAAGCTGAAATTTAATATGCTCGTTCAGTTCGGATGACAATGCATGCTTAACAGTGTGATGTCATTCTAAATCCAATATGGCGGCATACCCAAAACGGCGGACCGATCATTTTTAATGCATTCCTACAATATGGGTATCAAATCAAAGGGCTCGCTGAGAGTGACTCGAAAAAAATGTGACGTCACTCTCAATCCAATATGGCGGACTTCTAAAATTTGCAAATCTATTTAGAAACAAACGTTAACTAAATTTTCTTTTTTTCTTTTTAGCGCATTCGAACAAAAGCTTGTTTTTAAAAAGGCTTTTGTACCTTAATTTTGTTTTATTATAACATTGTGATGGTAGGACCCCCACGAGCGCGAGTACATCGTATGCGACAAGTATTTGGAGCAGATCTTCGGCGCCGCGCGCATGAAGCTGGCCGAGGTGCCCGCCAGGCTGGCGGCCCTACTGCATGCCCCCGACCCCATAGTCATCAATCACGTCATCGCCGTCGAGCCCCCCCACGACACCAAGCAGACCGCCTGCTACGACATCGACGTCGAGGTATACATACATACATACAGTGTCTGCACCGACCCCATAGTCATCAATCACGTCATCGCCGTCGAGCCCCCCCACGACACCAAGCAGACCGCCTGCTACGACATCGACGTCGAGGTATACATACATACATACAGTGTCTGCACCGACCCCATAGTCATCAATCACGTCATCGCCGTCGAGCCCCCCCACGACACCAAGCAGACCGCCTGCTACGACATCGACGTCGAGGTATACATACATACATACAGTGTCTGCACCGACCCCATAGTCATCAATCACGTCATCGCCGTCGAGCCCCCCCACGACACCAAGCAGACCGCCTGCTACGACATCGACGTCGAGGTATACATACATACATACAGTGTCTGCACCGACCCCATAGTCATCAATCACGTCATCGCCGTCGAGCCCCCCCACGACACCAAGCAGACCGCCTGCTACGACATCGACGTCGAGGTATACATACATACATACAGTGTCTGCACCGACCCCATAGTCATCAATCACGTCATCGCCGTCGAGCCCCCCCACGACACCAAGCAGACCGCCTGCTACGACATCGACGTCGAGGTATACATACATACATACAGTGTCTGCACCGACCCCATAGTCATCAATCACGTCATCGCCGTCGAGCCCCCCCACGACACCAAGCAGACCGCCTGCTACGACATCGACGTCGAGGTATACATACATACATACAGTGTCTGCACCGACCCCATAGTCATCAATCACGTCATCGCCGTCGAGCCCCCCCACGACACCAAGCAGACCGCCTGCTACGACATCGACGTCGAGGTATTGGTACTGGCACCGTAGGGGTCGTTCAAGTATTACGTGAGCAGATTTATCACAATTATTTACCCCCTCCTCCCCCTCGTCAGCAAAAGAAAGCAAAGCTCTTACCCCTCCCCCCCCCCCCATCCTTACGTAAACATTGGTACCTATTGCTTTTTCCTTTAATGTATTCTGTTTTTTCTATTGATTCATGAGCTTTGTGAGCAGCAGTACTTGAAAAGGCTTAATCGATTATGTTAACGTAATCACCATCTCTACCCCCACCCCCCCATGTCATCAAAAATAAGCAAAGCGATGACCCCCCTGCCCCCCTATAGTGCTTACGTAATACTTGAACAGCCCCCTCACACAAGGCACACTACATACATACAGTGTCCGCACCGACCACATCATCGTCATCGACCACATCTTCTTCATGTTCCTCTCCAATTACTGAAGGTTGGACATCAGCCTTGAAAACCACGCTTTGTCCCTGGCGAGGTGAAACAATGAGGGCTATCGCGTCTGAAACCGCCGCTAGAGGCGCTTGTGTTGTGTGAGGTCTCCGAATAGGCTTGTTGAAAATATATCGCGATATATCGATATTTTTTGTTCGATATATCGATATTTTTTGCCGATATATTTTGATTCGATATATCGATACATCGATACAAAATAACCAATATCGAAATTCGTATCAAAAACGATATTTTTTTAATTATTAGCGGCATATCACGATCTAACTAAATTCGTATCTAGAAAAATCGTAACTGGATCTCAGATTAATGATATACAACATATCTATGATCTGTGCTGTATTTAGTATTTCCTATGTCATCATTCGGAAATAGGGTCTATTTTTAGGGAAATAATTTTCGTTCCATTATTATTCCGCGTGTCATATTTCGTGTACGATATTTTTGGGAAAATTGGTCCGATATATCGATGTTTTTTTCGCGATATATCGAAGCCGATATTGATATTTTTTAAAAGATCGATGTATCGATATATCGATATTTTTTTCAACTTTCGACATCCCTACTCCGAAATGTCAAATATAGCTTGCGGGTTGACTACGCGGTTGTTTTCTAATTAAAATAATAGTTGTGAATATTTGGTAATAAATCAGACTTATTAAGGCAAATATGAGTTACGTGTCAATGATTGTCAGTTATTTAAAAGCGGAGCTAAAAAAAATATTGTCCTTCTTTTTTCCGACCAAAAACGATAGTCCTCATTCCGCGGCGCTCTTGATACCGGTCCAGTCTCGCGAATGTTTCGAAGCCACGACTTTTTCCGACGGCCCACCTTAGATTAAAACAAAACGGGTAGATGCGGTACCCTCATACTAGCATCAAATAAAATATGATCCGACTCGACTACTTAAGCAACTCTCGCCACGCACACGGCTGTATATAAACATCAGTCGAGCGAGCGAGACAGAACTATACGCTTTAACGCAGCGTATTGTTGTCCTTTTCTTGCTTACAAATTGTCGATTACGTAAATAATATTCACGGCAAACCGTAATTTTTGAGAAAAAAATTTTTCACAGTTTTACGAATGAAAAGCGTTGCAGGGGCATTTGATTTTGTTCTTTTTAAATTTATCTTCATAACACAAATATACGCAATATTGTTATATTATTGAGTGTACATGCAGCGTGTTTGAATGTCAAATTGTGACTAAAGCGAATTATGGTCGTGGACCACAATTTAAGCGGATCACTTTTGAGCCGCGAATGCCATATCTTCCCTTTTTGTTTTAATCTAAGCGGCCCAGTCGACATTTCCCCGTAATTTTTCCCATCATATTGAGTTGCAGTAAATCGTATCTCTGGTGTCTGAAGACATGACCGAGGTAGGCAACTTTTCTTGTTTTGATGGTCTGCATCATTTTGCGAGTTTGACCGACACGTCTTAGAACGTGCGTCTTAGAGAGCATGCGTCGGTAAGTCCACATTTCAAAAGCGTCAATACGTCTACGACCACATCCACCACATCGTCGCCGATTTATTTTATTTTAACGTTCTATGAATCATCATCGTCGGCCTATAAATATCCTGCTGGACACAGGCCTTCCCTACGGATGGGATAAGGAGATTATGATAGCGACTGCAGATGCAGCCGGACCCAACGGCGACGGTTCAACGTGGCTTCCGAAAAACGAACGAGAATTGTAAATCTTTGGTCAGCCATCCAATGTCCGACCACTGCGATAGTTGCTTAACTTCAACGATTGCAGTTGCATGTTAACCATTGTTAACCACCTTCATTATATAAATATATACTATAAAAGACGTAAGTAATATTTAACTACCTATTTTAATTATTTTATTTTTATTTACTATTACTCTGTTTACACTTATTTTATGTAATTTTTATATGACATTTTATTGGCTTTTTTGAGAAGCTCGATGGCGCAGGTGGTTAGCGCGTTCGGCTCCGATGGTTGAAGTTAAGCAACTTTCGCAGTGGTCGGTCATTGGATGGGTGACCAAAAACATCTATCTCGAGTTCCTCCGTGCTTCGAAAGGCACGTTAAGCCATTGGTCCCGGCTGCATCTGCAGTCGTTAGCGCTCGCCAATCCGCACTGGGCCCGCGTGGTGGGTCATGGCCCAATCTCCCTATTCCATCCATAGGGAAGGCCTGTGCCCCAGCAGTGGGGACATTAATAGGCTGATGATGATGAAGATGATTGGCTTTTTTTTGCCTTTACTAAATAATTATTATCATTATAGAATTCTTTATGTACTCGTCTATATGTTAATAATATATGCAGGTGGACGACACTCTGAAGGCGCAGATGAACAATTTCCTGCAGAGCACCGCCAACCAGCAGGAGATACAGGGGCTCGACGCCAAGATACACGAGACGGTGAGGCTGGCACCCTTATAACAATATATAATAAACATTTTAACACACACCAATAAGGTCCTACAAGTATAATTTTTATTTTTTAAGCATGTAACTGCTCGATGTTTAAATCTAAAAAAAAATTCCACGCGGAACAGGCAGCAGCCGGGACTCGAATCCGCCACCCTTTGTTTTCCGGGCGAATGCACTGACCATTAGGCTACCGTGGCCCTGATGACCGTGTCGAATTCTTCATAACCTTTCTTAAGCTGCAAGGCAGCGCCATCTCTTCGCATTGTAGGTAACCCACAATGTCAACTTCCGTAAAACAAACTATAAGACAACCATTTTCCGTTCGATTGTAACCCATTTTCTTCACGTTGTCTATTCTGGGAGGGGGCGACCTGGCGACCTGTATGACAGGTTTCTTTGAAACCTGTCATACAGGCACCAATGTCATGCATGTATTAGGATAAGATATTTTGTATAATAGAGTAATTTACTTTTGTAAGAAAATATATATATTACTAGCTGTCCCAGCGAACTTCGGTAGAAGGGTCAAAATTTAGGGTTGTATGTATTTTTGTATGATGTATCATAAAAAAAAATGGATGCGTGTAACTTATGTACGCGCGTAAGAAGTTATACTTCTTTAGCATCATTAAAAATATTTTTAATTGCATGTAAATAATTAATAATTACAATAAAATAATAAAAGGACTGGAAAAGGATAGTTAACACAGTCAATGAAGTTCAGTTTTAATTTGAAAAATGAAATATATATTCAAAATATTCAATTAAAATCACTAAGTTATTAGTCCATATGTAATTAGCACTTGTAAGTAACTAAAACACGTTGTGTCTATATAGAAACTAGAAACATGTGGATAAATATTATAAATATGAAAACAGTGATCAGAGGCGACGAGCGTGCCAACATTGTTTTTGACAACGCGATCATCTTATGGAGCTCCGTGGATCGTTCAAAGTACCTTTCGAACAGATGTCTAATAATGGTGGATTATTAACCACTAAGTGGTTAATAATCCACCATTATTAGACACTAACATTCATAACGCGCCCGCGGCCAACTTCATGCTGTTACTTTTGGGTTACAGTGATGCGCGCGCATCTAAAAATTTCACTCTCATCATTTTTTCATAACGCGCCTAAAGAAGTATAACTTCAAAAATTAAAAAAAAAATTAAGGCTGGATTATCCTTAACATTTAGGAGGATGAAAAATAGATGTTGTCCGATTCTCAGTCCTACCCAATAAGCACACAAAATTTCATGAGAATCGGGAAAGCCGTTTCGGAGGAGTTTAACCACAAACACCGCGACACGAGAATTTTATATATTAGATTAAGTATTAACTTACTACTACATTTATAAATTTTATTGTTTGTTTTTTTTCTAGAAAATTTTTCTTTAGAATTATAAAGATATACGACACTGTATGAAATAAAACAGGGAGAAAAAAACAACCCTGGCTGAGTCTTGCGAACCGATGATGATGGCGTAATTTTCGACTTACACATGTGCTTGTAAAAGCCTAAATTGAATAAATGATTATTGAATTGAATATAGGTGTCGATTCTAACATGATTCTCTAAACCTAAACTTATTTTTTTATAGTGTAGAAGATTTTTTTAATGACTAATTGGACAATCGAGTAATGTAAATTAGCTAATTATTTAGTACTAGCTGACCCGGCGAACTTCGTACCGCCTTAGCGTAGCTTTGATGCACTACTTTTTTTTCTTTATTTTTTTTCTGTAAGAACCTTGTACTTGTAGTATTAGAAAACTACAAAAAAAAATCAGCCAAATCGGTCAAGCCGTTTTGATGTTATGTCGTGACAACGGAAAACGGGTTTCATTTTTATATATATATAGATTGCAGTTTATTTTGATGTAATGAATGAATATGATTGAAGTTTCTGTATAATTTAAATTAAAAAAATACTTGATGGAATTATTTGTAATATGTATATCATGGTGTTTATAATTGTATAGTAAAGACCCGTATTTTAATTTAATTTAACTTTAACTTAGTCTTTCGTATAAATCGCATGCCATTTATGGTAAAATATGTAGAATCTGTTTTGTATACATGTCATCTTATTGTACCATATTTTTTGCAATAAATAAATCTCGCAATCTTCGATAACAGAGTACCTCATCATTCTCAATACAAAACGAAAAAGAGAGATCGGTGTTAAATAAAGTTATAAGTTCAAAGAATCATACTGCTGTAAAATTTAATTTAAGATTTGAAGAATGAGGCCCAATTTGTTTCTGCGATATGTATATTCCAACACGGTGTTTGGTGTTTCAGGTGGACACCATCAACCAGCTGAAGACGAACCGCGAGTTCTTCCTGAGCTTCAGCAAGGACCCGCAGCAGTTCATACAGAAGTGGCTCGTCAGCCAGGCCCGCGACCTCAAGGTAACGTTCACAATCCCCCGAAATTCTCTCGGGCCACGGTCACCACAAGGCCTATCTATCTTTATATATATAACTAGCGGACCCGACAGACGTTGTCCTGTCTACACGTCTTTGTGAATCTAAACCATTCTCAGATCCCCTTGAACACACACAAAAAATTTCATCAAAATCGGTCCAGTCGTTTAAGAGAAGTTCAGTGACATACATACTCACAGAAGAATTATATATATAAAGATTCTTCTGTGAGTGTGTAGAGAATTATATATATAAAGATTCTTCTGTGAGTGTGTAGAGAATTATATATATAAAGATTCTTCTGTGAGTGTGTATGTCACTGAACTTCTCTTAAACGACTGGACCGATTTTGATGAAAATTTTTGTGTGTGTTCAAGGGGATCTGAGAATGGTTTAGATTCACAATTTTGTCCGCTGGACAACCCCTATTTTTTTAGGGCGGTACGAAGTTCGCTGGGTCAGCTAGTACAAATATAAAATAACACCCGATGGTTGTTGCCTATGCGATAACCGCACTAAACAGGACATCACACGCGTCTTAAAACATTGCCCTATATTCCACTGCACCAGAGCTGAATATGAAAATTACTGCGGATTATACAAAATTGAACCTAACAATTTACTGGAAACGATAAAGAACGAAACGGCCACTTGCAAATTCATCAAACATGTCGACACAATAGTGTCACAACTTAAGCGCATCAATGATACCTAACTGCCACATCGACTAAAAGCATAAATACGTAGTGGCGGCTTTGGATCTGTATCCAATTGCAGAATCAAAACCGACCATGATCACAATTTAAACGTTAACTTCAATATATATATATATATTTGTTCCCTTATAAATATACAGAGAACCATGTATTTAACATTACACATGAAAAAAAAATGTGTGCGTGTACTAGTGTACACACATAAGAAGTGAAACTTCTTTATGGCCTTATTTTTTTCGAAAAATGATCTACATGCAACTTTCCAGAAATATATATATATAGGCGTGCGCTAAGATTTTTCAAAAACTCACCCACTAAAGGGGTACCTTACCTTACCTTACCTTACCTTACCTTACCTTACCTTACCTTACCTTACCTTACCTTACCTTACCTTACCTTGAGTGAAACACGAATATTTGCTGTCGATACTTTTTTTTTAAAGTTGACAGAAGAAGCATTTGTTCGGATGAGGTAAATAGTGCTCTTTTAAAAAAAAGATGGCGCGTAACCAAAAAACGTGACGCGTAACGTCCGAAAAAATGTGACGGTAAATTTTTTCCAACGCCGATAAAGAAGTTTCACTTCAATAACACCCGATGGTTGTTGCCCATGTGATAACCGCACTAAACAGGACATCAGACACGTCTTAAAACATTGCCCTATATTCCACTGCACCAGAGCTGAATATGAAAATTACTGCGGATTATACAAAATTGAACCATACAATTTACTGGAAACGATAAAGAGCGAAACGGCCACTTGCAAATTCATTAAACATGTCGACACAATAGTGTCACAACTTAAGCGCATCAATGATACCTAACTGCCACATCGACTAAAAGCATAAATACATAGTGGCACAATATATATTTGTTCCCTTATAAATATACAGAGAACCATGTATTTAACATTACACATGAAAAAAAAACCCCGGAAATGCCCAAGGAACCCACTTACGAAAACTATTGCTTTGCCTACATAGAACTAACCTCAGTATTCACCATCCTCAGGCCAGAGTCAGCGATACCTATAATGATATTAACACAAAATCTGTCCGACTTGTATGTGTTTGACGTTTCGCAGAAAAACTTTAAAGCAACATTACTGAGCTGCTCGATTCATATTAATTATGTATATTTTTTAAATCAATATAAATTACAGACATTATATATTCATTTTAAATTTCAAATTTAACTTTTTTGAAGTGAAACTTCTTTATCGGCGTTGGAAAAAAATTTACCGTCACATTTTTTATTCGGTTACGCGTCACGTTTTTTGGTTACGCGCCATCTTTTTTTGGTTACGCGCCATCTTTTTTTAAAAAAAGCACTATTTACCTCATCCGAATTCTTCTGTCAACTTTAAAAAAAAAAGTATCGACAGCAAATATTCGTGTTTCACACAAGGTAAGGTAAGGTAAGGTGTAGTTATACCCCTTTAGTGGGTGAGTTTTTGAAAAATCTTAGCGTACGCCTATATATATATTTCTGGAAAGTTGCATGTAGATCATTTTTCGAAAAAAATAAGGCCATAAAGAAGTTTCACTTCTTACGTGTGTACACTAGTACACGCACACATTTTTTTTTTTCAAGACACCAATTAGCCTATTCCCAAAGTAAGCACTGTAGGTTTGTGTTATGGGATACTAGGGTAACGAAAGAATACATACTGTAAGTATATTTATATGGAAATACATATTAAAATTCATGACTGGAGTACAAATGCTCGTATTCATCACACAAACATCTGCCCCCACCGGAATTCGAACCCGGGACCTCTCGAGTCGGCGACACCATGAAACCCGGCGTATAAACCACTCGGCCGTGGAGGTCATCATCAATAAAAAGCGCTTTTTTTCTCGTGTTTCGCATTTTTCTGTTCTTGATTGCATTTTGCAAGGAAAGTGTGACAAATTCTTCATCAATTATTTTCAGAAATTGAATTTTATAAAATGATAGTATTTTTTTTTCTTAGCTAAGTAGATTATTGGTATAACTACAATCTTTTTGACGTGACAACGTCTTATAATTTAATAGAGCCGGCTGCACGCACGAAAAAACATGACTCATACGGCGTTACCTCGCTCTGAGGCCTTCCATTTAAGGCTTGAAGTGCAAGCGAGAGCGCGCAACGAGCGTCAAAGAGGCACAATCGGCCTCCGCGTTCGGCAGCGTTCGACATCTGTCTCTCTCTTACTTGAGTGAGCGATGCGTCCGCGTGGACAGCTGCTTTACAACATTTACATGTTTTCGTCAAGCATGAAGTGCAGTGAAAAGTGCACATTTATACTTGTAAAAACTATGTACATTGTAAAAAAACGTCACGTTCAACTATCGTCAGTAAACCGACTTTACAGACAACCGATTTTTTTTGCTTTTAAAAATATAATTGGCTGATTAAAAAAAAAAGAAACGTCGATTGTATTTTGTTTTCATAAAAATACATATACGAGGGGAGGAGATAGAAATTAAACACGAAGCTGTTTTTCCTTTTCAATATATTCTCCCTTAAGCCAAATACATTTTTCAGATCTCTCAAATAACTTATAAATACCATCGAAAAAAAAAAAAATTGTCTTTGGTGTCAAAATAGGCCGAAATTGCGGACTTCACTTCTTCATCGTCGTCAATTTTTTTCCACGCAGCACTTTCTTCATTTTTGGAAATAAATAATAGTCACTGGGTGCCAAGTCTGGACCGTAGGGTGGATGGTTCAATTGTTCGAAGCCGCATCGGTGAATGGCAGCCGTCGCAACATGGCACGTGTGAACGGGTGCATTGTCGTGCAAAAGAAGCACACCTTTTGACAGCTTTCCTCTTCTTTTTGAAGTTATACTTCTTTAGGCGCGTTATGAAAAAATGATGAGAGTGAAATTTTAAGATGCGCGCGCATCACTGTAACACAAAATTTTAACATAATGAAGTTGGTCGCTTTAGCGACCAACTTCATGCGTTACTTTTGTGTTTACCGCACATTAAGAAAATCTACCAACAAAATAGAAATAGAATCTCTATTTAGTGGGTGCTAACGACTGCATTGTGAAGGCCTATCAAAAGTATTTATTAATCTGGAACAACGGAACCAAAGCGCGATTCAGGAGACTACAGCGCCATCTCTTGACCATTGGTGTAGTAGAACCAAAAACCACATCTTTATTTTTTGTAATAAAGTAACAGTTATAGGTATTCATATTTATAATATTTATTCACATGTTTCTAGTTTGTATATTCGGAATACGTGTTTGAGTTTCATACAAGTGCAAATCACATATGTTCTAATAAATTATATTCAGTAGCGATTTTAATTGAATATTTTGATTATTTATTTATTTTTTCAAATTAAAACTGAACTTTATTGACTTCGTCCTTTTCCAGACTTTTTATTAAGGATGATGGGCAAAAATGTATGGAACTTGGTATCCGTTCCAATAGAGATGTGTTACATATCATTTGAAAGGTCTACTTGAATACAATAATGTCTACTATGACGCTTGCCCTGATACGTTGTCGAAACAGAGTTATATAATAAATAATAAATAAAGTTTTTTCTTTTTCAATTGTTATACATTTTAGTATTTACATTATTTTAGCAGTGTTTTAAGTATTAACAATAGGCATTGGGGTGGAGCGTTGATATCTGCAATAGTTTAAAAAAAACTGTATTGCAGATACCAGTGCCTTCCGACTTAGTAACAATACAACCTCGTGTGAACTATTTAATGTTTATCTTTAAAGAGAACGTTAATAAAAGAAAATGGTAAAAAACATAATAAAAAAAAACAATAACGGCAGAGTGAAAGAAACACATTTTCGAATAATTACTTTATTCATTATCTATAATAAGGATGTCATTTAGGAACAGTGCAGGAGCGACGAATCCGGCGTGCCTGGCAGAGCACAAGTTCCTATGGTACGTCTACCAATTAGACATGTACTAATTCTAAGCTAAGTCGTTATTACTGAACCTTCCCGCCCGCACCTTCTGTATACCTGCCTAAATACGGGCGAGAGAGGGGATGGTATCCCGCATTCAACTCTGTACTTGATTCAGTGACTCGATTTCCCTTTTTGGTTCTGTAATAATAAATAATGGAAATAACGGTTCCTGCAAAAATGGTTCTGGTATTTTCTGGAAAAAATAAAAACGGACAACAAATATCAGAATGCCGCCATAGTAACTAATATTCTACATGAGAAGAGGTATTCAATGATATATCACTCATCGCTATTGATACCAAACACCAATTGGATACCAAAATGCCCGTCCTCC